ACCATCGAGTCCAATCCCAAAATCCCACACTTTCCCCGAAGATTTTGTCCCAAAATTCCCGGAGCTCCAGCAGCCCCGGGGCCGTGACCATTCAGGAAAAGGAAGACCCTTTTCCCCAAACCCCTCGGGTCACAGCGTCCCCAAACCTCGGGGATTTACCTGGCCGTCTCCTTCCACTCTGCGTCCTCCCCGTCCTTGACGCAGATCTCGTCCAGCTCCGTGAACAAATCGTGGGGGACGTGCTGCTCGTCCTCCTCCGTGCCCAGGATGAACTGGACCCGCTGGGATGGGGTGTCTGGGGACAGCGGGAGATTCCCCCACCCCGTTATCGGGTCTGGATCCGTCCGGTGGCGTCACACCGAGACCACTCCGGCCATAAATGCCGAACTGACCCCTCTCCCACGGCTCTGTCCTAGCTCTCCCAGGTGAAGGTGGAACCTCCATCCCCCCTTCCATGGGATTGGGCTTCTTCCCTTCCCCACAGCTCCAATTTTAACCCAGAATCCCCAAATCCATTACGGATTTAACTCCAAAACCGTTGAAAAGTTTGAGGAAAAGCCGTTGAGAGAAAAGTTGAGGAAAAGGGGAGCTTTGCTGAAAAAAACCCCACTTTTCCCTGAAAAACAGCCACAGGGTGGGAATTAGGGCTGTGGCCACCCCGGCGGGACTTACAGTGGTCGCCCTGCTCGGCGGGGACCGGCTCCTTCTCCCGCTCCCGTTTTCGGTGTTTCTGGCTGTGGGCGCGGTGGTGCCGGTGGCTCTGGCGCACCAGCGGCATCCGCACGCCCACGTACAGCGTCCGGTGGCCTGGGAAAGCAGGGAATGACCGGGGATTGACCATGGGGCCATCCCAGGAGGAAACCATGGAATTTTTTTTTTTTTTTTCTGCAGAATATCCCGCTTTTTACTGCAAAATATTCTCCCTTTTACTGCAAAACATTCTCCTTTTTCTGCAGAGTATTTGCCTTTTTGTTGCAGAATATTCTCCTTTTTACTGCAGAATATTCTTTCTTACATCAGAGTATTTTCCTTTTTACTGTAGAATATTTTTCTTTTTACTGCAAAACATTCTCCTTTTGCTGCAGAATGTTTTCCTTTTTACTGCAGAATATTCTCCTTTTTACTGCAGAATATTCTCTTTTTTACATCAGAGTATTTTCCTTTTTACTGCAGAACAATGTCCTTTTGCTGCAGAATATTTTCCTTTTTACTGTAGAATATTTTCCTTTTTATTGTAGAATATTTTCCTTTCATTGCAGAATATTTTCCTTTCACTGCAGAATATTTTCCTTTAATCAGAATATTTTCCTTTCACTTCAGAATATTTTCCTTTAATCAGAATATTTTCCTTTTTACTGCAGAATATTCTCCTTTTTTTACTATCCCATCCTTTTAGGAAGCTCCTCAGTGGGAAGGTTCCATGAGGATCATCGAAGCCCTGCACAGGACACCCCAAAAATCCCACACCAACCTCCCTGGATTTAAATTTTAGCAGATCCCTGGATATCCCAGATTTGTCCTTTTGTCCCGTTTTACACAAGTTTCACACCAAGGGATGGTTTGGGGTCACCCAAACGCGCCCTGAAACCACCAAAACCCTTCTCAAATTCCAGTTCGGGCTGGACAACACCACCACCACCCCTTGGATTTGCTCATTAAGACAATAACTATTATTTTGGAAACTTTCTGTGGTGCAAGATGATAAAAATGATCAAAGGAGTTTCATGATGATGAATTCCAGGAGGAAAACGGGAGGAAATCTGCACCACAACAAAAGGTTCTCCTGCCCTGATTTTCCCTCTGGGATTCCCTCTGGAGAATTCCAAATTCTCCAGCCTCATGGATATAATTCCCACCGGGGCCTCTGCGAGGGCTTTAAAAGCCATCACATTAAAAAACCAATCGATAATTCATTGATTAATCAAGAACCACCACATTAAAAAAATGAATCCATACTTTTTTGATTAATCAAGAACCATTGCATTTAAAAATGAATCAATAATTCATTGATTAAGCAAGAACCATCACATTTTAAAAAT